TGATAAAAAAAAAAAAAAAAAAAAAAAAAAAAAAAAAAAAAAAAAAACACCTCTCTTCCCCAAATGGACAAATTACTTTTTCTCACTGCAGTAAGAATAAATACGACCTTTTCCATGCTTTGAAGATTTTTGCCACACAGGTGGCAAATCACTTTCATTTGTATTAGTCATTCTCCTCAGAGAATCATTAACCAGCTCCACCCACAAACTTACTTCTGTTTTTGGTATAGCTGAGAAGCGTTTCTGCAGATTTGAAGCAGGGGGAATAAAAGTTGCTGCAAATCACTTATACCCTTAGCCCATCTTGAAGCCATTTGAATAACAAGCAGGTCTCCAAGCTGAAAAGTTAATCTAATTTACATAGGCTGACAGTAGCTCTCACAAGCCTTGTCCATTGTAAATTGCTCCTTGGGGCACCTTTGCAAGCAGAGTGATAGTAAGGAAGGGGCCTTTTTTACCTTCCAAGGATTTCTCCACTAGAGGAAGTCTCCTCAGATTAAACTTCTTTCATTAATGGGTTGCTTTGAGAATCAGAAGCCAGGGCTATTTTCCAATAGTTCAAGCTGATTCTAACCTAGTTTTCACTTGACTCATTCCAAGACAATTCCAAGTGAATGTTATTCTACATCTTCTCATCCTATGTTTTGTCTGAAACAAGTGTAAATTACAGAAAGTTAGGTGCCAGCTGAACCTAATGGAAAGCTAAAAAACATCCATTTTTCTGTCATCTCTCAATTCATCCCTTTAAGGGAGGTAACTGTTTTGGGATCAATAAAATGCACTGTGCAACACCTCAAACATTTTTTTCTGGTCTTTGGTTGTCATTTGTATATGTGCCATTGTTAACATGTATCATACAAGGAAGTTGAAAAATGCAACTTGCATTGCAACAAGTTGCAATGTTTATAGGGAACGATTTTGCATAGAACTGTATGTAGGCTTACATGATAAAATCCAATTCTGTTCCTTCCCCTCTTGAATAAATATTCCAGTTCTTCTTTTCCCCTTCTTATAACCACATCCACTGTTGGGTTGTCCTTTATTTGGTAGTAGTTCAGGCAGTCCAAGCTGTGATTTTCCTTTTAACCAATTGATTTTTCACCTTTTCAGTAGTGCCTTATTGCCACTCATCCAGGCTCTTGAATTCTTTATTTTCTTCCCAAAACTCTAATTTGAAGACTAATTGAACTCTAATTTGAAACTAATCAAGATAGTGATAAATAGGCCATATTAGATAGTAAGCATGTGGATTAAAGATTTATAGAGCAGCATGTGAGTATAGTTTCAGTAAACAAGTGAATGATTGAGAACACTGTATGTATAAAACTTGAGCTACTATAGAGAAGAAATGAATTGCCTAGACAAGAAACAAAAACAAGAGCTAAAAGCACAATTATGAAATCAGAATGATGTGTCATACTGATTGCTATCGTATATTCATATTTGCTCCATTTGAAATCCCAGATGTTTAAAGCACTAGTTATATCTGTCCTTGTCTGGGCTAATAGAAAGTGTTAAAGCAGCTTTTTCCACAATTTGTTTAAAGGTTTATTGCATTTCTAGGAATTGTTTTTTCTTAGTCTATTATGTGATTTTCTATATTCTTATGTTCCCTATCAAGTGTGTTTTGAAAAGTTGCTTCTTTGTAAGATATGAAGGATATTTAATAGCATTCAAATAAAACATTCCCCTCTGTGTTTCAAATTTTGGTCTGGAAGAGGCACATAAAATACCTTCAGAAACAAGCCTTTTTTTTTTAATGTAACTTAATTCTGTAAAATTATAAGCTCATGATATTCTGAAAACATATTGTTCCTGAGAGAGAAACATTTCACCAGTGTTTTTAAGGTAGCAATGACAAAGGCAGATAGGATGTTTAGTTCATTTGAAAGTGTACATTTTGGGGAGGGGGAAAAAGATTACAGACACATTCTAGTATCTTGGGGTTACTGCTGTATACAGGGGACTCATCAATTACAATTTGTCTCTAAAGAATTATCCCAACATTTTTGTCTGTGATATTTCTTGTTCAAGACAGACCTTGGGAACTAACTCATGTCTATCTTTTGTTGAGTTTTTGAAGTATGCAAGAAACAAGGAAATAAGCTTGCATATTCGAAAGTGATTATATATTATGACACAAAGATTTTAGATGCCCATTCATAGATCCACACCAAAATGAAGGCACACAAACCTGTAAAAGGAAGAAGACAATTTCAATTTCAAAACACCACTCCTCTCCTCAGTTTTCAGTTCCATTGGCTAAGTTTTCTTCCCCATACCCCCACCTTAATTATCACCTGATGAAATTCAGATGGTGATGTCATGCTCAGGGAACAAAGGTCTCGCTTATAAAAGGGTTTTCTTTATTTTTTTTATAATTTAGCTGAACAACACAAAACTGAATACTGTAAAGCAACAAAAAATGATGTAACATCTTTAATTGTCCTGTGTTTACTAAATAAGGCTACGACACTCCCTTAAAATAAATCAAAACAGAGGGTTGGTAGAGTGAGAGATCTGGCTCTTGAGGTCTACAAGTATAGTAAATGTATTTACCATCATTTATTGCATGACATTTAAACCTGACATTGGTCATTTATAGTGCAGTCAGTCCATAACACTTTCCAAGTGGCTGGGCTTTAGTTGCTACTTTGACATTGGTCAAAATCCTAAGATTAAATAAGAATTTTGTATATACTTATTTTATTTGAAGACAAAATCATCCATAGTTCATGTTTCCTGCAAACTCTGCATTAAATAAGCCTCAGTAGTGGAACAGGCTTCAATTTTAATTTTTTTTTTTTTTCTTTTCATCTATGGTCACTTGAAAAATCTCTATATATTTTTCTTTAGTAGAATAGAACTAGCATAATACTAAAAGTTAATTGGAATATTAGGTAGTATACTTAAAACCAGAAAACATTTACCAGGAAGAAATTAAGCTCATTTGTTGATTTCATCATACCAGTACGTACCAAACATACACAGAAAGGTACAGTAAAGGGGAGCAAGGTTTAGTTTGTATTTGTTTATCACCATTTCTCCCCTCATCATTGCTATTTTTATTAAATTTTCACTAATCAATAATGCCGAAACAGTGGGCTTTCTAACAGTGAGGTAAAACAATGAAAAACGGGATCAAGGAATAGGCTGCAAACTGGCCCTTATACTATATTACCTAAAACTAGGGGAAAGAAAGATAGACAGAAAGAGAAAAAAAAAAAAAAAAAGAGAGAGAGAAAAAAAGAAGAAAAAAAAAAACCCTTGCTATGAAGAGCAATGTTTAAAATATTTTACACTCTATTTTTATCGGTACATAAAGACAAAAAAAAAATAAAAATAAAAAATGCCTTCCGACAGTGCAATGGTTGAATGCATTTATGTAATATAAACAACATTATTCTTTGCTTTTTCTACACAGTCCTCTCTGGTCATGCTTTACATCCAAAATGTCCCAATGGAAGAAAGCAAACGACACCAGTCACTTCAGAGACAACTGAAGTAATAAAACACAACTTAACTCTGAACCACTTGTCATGACTGTCAGAGTTATCACGTTAATTGTTAAATAGGATTTTCTACAAATATACAACATATAAAAACTGTTAAATATATAACTTTAGGCTTTTCAAAATACATTTAATGATCTCTTTCAAACAAGTGTTACTTTTGTTTTCTCCTTAATTTGCTTTCTGGTGCTAAATGGTGTATCAGATGAGACATAGGCCACAGATGACCAAACATGCTCTTTGCAAATACTGTATTATCCAACTTTAACTATCAAAAATGGAACTGTAGAAGAGGCATGTTTAACTGGTTAAAACTGAAAATGATTTTAGTATGAGAAAGTCAATCTAAGTACAGAGGAATAAAGGTGCTGTGTAGACAGTTTGTGTCCTTTTTGTCTAAGTTTTTCAAACATTGGTCATTTTCTCACGATGCTCCATTATGTTTTCTAGAATGCGGCATTTCAAGAGCAGGTCTCTGGGTTAGTTTTTACTGCAGCTTTCCAGAAAGAGTTCTGCTGTACAACAATAGCTCAGCTTTGTGAAAGCTGGAATCACGTCTCTTTGTGGAGCCCCCCTACAATTGAATGACATCACTCTGATAACAGTAACATTGTGTCCACTTTAAAATAGATTTTGCTCTTTGGTCTATTGTATATACTGAAAGTATAAGAAAATAAAAGCAATTCAGACAGTTTAGGGCACAAGAAGAGTTTCTCTTTTGCACCTCAGTGTCCTCCCATAGGCAAAACAGTCTTCTCTAAGGCTGATTGGGATGATACTCTTCATTGTAGCAGACTCTTCGGATTAAAACAAGTAGGTAACACCAAGTCCAGCAGTGGTGTATAACGCAGATGAAACATTAACCATGAACTTTTTTTGTATTGCTAATGCCCAAGCGTATCTTTTATCTATATTCCTTAGTCCAGTGATCCTTAGTATGGTAGAACAAACTTTAGCTTGTAATGCAGAGGAATTATGCTGTCTTTGATGAGATACAGAGAAACAGACAGTTGAGTTGATGACATATAACGGATGATGATCCACAGCAGTGAAACTTGACTAAGTTAGGTAGCTCACACAGAGCCTAAACCACTCCTACGAGGATTCTGTGTTGCTGCATTTGTCAGGAGACCTGTAAATCAATAAGAACAAATGAGTCAATGTCTTAATTTACAGCTCTGGTTATCTTTATTGTCCATTATTTTAAAATGTTACTGCATTGAGATTCTTTTCAAGGAACAAGTTGAGGAGTTATCAGATATTTGCTTTTCACAGCAAACATTTTCCCTGAGACACAACAACAAACAAATCTATATCTTGTACTTACTATGTGAAAAATATCAAATATTGGATCAAGATTTATAATAAATTATGAATATAAATGACAATTTATAACAGCTTAAATGCCTTCTACTCTCTGCTAATCTCCATGCACATTCATTTTAAAATAAAAATTATATTGCTTTATTGTTTGCTTTATGCTGTATGCTTTTGAATGTTGCTTCACCTGCATTAGTTACATATACATTACTTAGCATGCATTTGATTATGATCATGAAGAATGAGTACTATTTTTAAATATATGATGCAAAATTGTCATGAATGATATGATAATTTAATAAAAATGACAGAATGTTTATACTGAAGGCTTTTCTGCCTTTACATTTATAATGAGCACTAGCATGCACTTGTTGCTCTACAGACTAATTTGAACAATACTGCCCTCTAGTGACGTAACTACAAGTGGAAATGAAAACGTGTTATTAATAATAATCAGAAAATCATTTTAATTACACAGTAGGCAAAAAAAAAAGTGAAACTGAAAATATGACTGCCTAACTAACCTGTCAAAAGAAAAATAGAATAGCAGTCATTAAAATAGAAAGGAGAAGAAAAAAAATCAGTAGTTTGAAACAACGGAACAAAAGTTTACACTCTGAAGAAAACAAGAACACTGAAAGACAATACAAACACAATGAGAAATTAATGACTAATATATATAACCAATGGTCAACTAGTCATGCTCACCCAAAATATCCGTTTAAAAATGGCTTATAAATTACACATATACAGTGCAACAAAAATGTTTTGAGGTATATTAAAAATAATTATTATAAAATGCTGTCTGAATATTCAAACGCTGCTTTCTGTTTTGGCATTATACTATCTCCAAGTAGTCAGACTTGTCATTACTGACAGAAATACCATGAATATCTCCAGAAAATACTGATAAGCAAATATGAAAAACAAACTAGAAATTCCAATTCACTTCAATCAAGCTGTGAATTTAGTTTATTTTTAACCTATCTCTCAGAGAGGTAAATGAAAGAAACATCTGACTGCAAATCAATTTGTAACAGTTTGAAATATATGTATCTCTCGCTATATGTATATCTCGCGTATGTAGAAAGACAGAGAGATAGATGGACAGACAGATAGACATATGAATATTTTCCTTATAAGGCATAAAGTGTATGTAGATTTCTGCTGTAGTCCTCTCACCTTTTCCAGGAAAAAACACCCCAGAAATCTTGAAAACAGCCTTTCCTTTTCGGACTAGTGATCAGATCTCCAAACCACATGGCCTCAAACAGGCTGAAGGCAAAAAACCTGGATGATTATTGTGGTATATTCCCCTTTTTAAATATACATTCAGCAAGAGAAATGTTCTTAAAGCTTATTACTATTATTATTATTTATTCCCTTTTACATTCTTTCTTGGGGTTTGCAATATGCCCCTATTTTCCTCCCATTAAAAAAGAACATATTTTTTACAGTAGCAATACTTCCTAGGCAGTGAAACACAAAGCAAAGGATTTATGATTTATTAGATCTGAAGGTAAACTACTATTATGTTAAAAATTAGGCTGACTTAGCTCAGTCCTTCCTGAATTAGGCTGAAGTAGCCCAAAGCTAAAAGCAACAGCATAAACTGCTGATGGACTGTGTGTTCATCATTTTCATGGTGCTCTTCTATAGCATAATCATCCCAGGATGGAGAGAGAACTCAGGTACAACTACATTCATTTGCAGATACCTGCTGCTTTGTCATTTCATGGATTTAAAAGCTTACTTCCTGACTTCCTATCCCTGCCTCCACTTTGCACATCCCCACAGCGTGAATATGGTATCAACACTTTAAAAGTAGGAGAGAAGAAGAGAGGAGAGAATTGCACATTTTAAAAACGCTGAGGCAATATGGAGAGCAGGCTTGGAATAAAGTGATGGCAGGCAGAGAAACACATTAGAGAACAGGAGGGGAATTTACAACTTTGGACAACAACAGGAGAAAATGGAATGAAAGAAGACAAAAGGTGCAGGATAGCAAGGGAAGTTTAAACATCATTTATTAATGAAAGCATGATAAAGAGAAGTAAAACAGGTAATAGGAATAGCAGATAAAATGCATAGAGATGATAGGAAAGAGCATGAAGAGTCCAAAGAAGAGGAAGCAAATGCATACCTACCTTCTCATCTCCTATTCATCTCCTTTCACTCCTCATCACAGAAATAACAATTCCCCAGAAAAAAATAGATCAAACAATCTAGAAAAAGGGATCTCAAAATTGACTACAGAAATGACTTGCTTATTCTAAATGTTTGAACTATTAAAAGTAACGTATGCCTAAGATGCAAGTTTAAATGGTATTCTTGAAAAGTGTTTGGCAATTTCTAGAATATTAATTAGGTTTCATTACAATTAGATTTTACCAAATATTGCAAAATGTATAACTATATACAGAAAAGAGTCTGAAAATTAGGGCAAGATGCCTTGATGTAGTTTTGTTCTGTTACTCAGGAAATTTGTAGCAGTATCGTATTAAAGAGGGCCTGGGTACCCCAAACATCCAGTGCAAAGTTACCTTTTGCGTTCATCACTACATAGGATTGCTGTCAGCATTCTGTATAACGGCACAAGGTCCTGATTGTCCTGAAGTATCTTTGTCCCTGACTGAAGTCAGAATGTCTTCCCAGTTGCTCAGACAGTAGCTTTCTGAAGCCTTCTGGAAGACCAACTGTTTGCATATCAGCCATTGCACAGCAGTGGCCATAACCTTCCATTTCTGTTGCTTTCTAGCAACAGAATAGCATTTTTTTTTCCTGCCTTTCTGCTGAAATAATCTTTGCCACACAATATATTAGAAACTCACCAAATTCTTGATATATCAGTAAGGCAACTTTTTACACAATTTATCTCTCAGTAAATTCTCGAAGACTATCATCTGTTATCTCAATAGAAAGATGGTTTTCCCACTTCAAATGGCAACAACCAGGCAGAATGGAAGAGCTTCTCCTATGTGTTTTGCCCTCTTCTGAAAATATCCTTCCTGCCCCATACCTGAGATCTCAAAAGCTCCTTCTCCCTCTGTGGGAAAGCCACACAGCATTTCCTGTCACCGCAGGTGCTGAAGAGGTGTGCAGTACTTATGGGCTCCACCAAAGCACTCTGCTACAACATGGCAAAAGGCAAGTTGCTGAGTAGGTTTTCAAAAGCTTTTCACTGTCCCAGTGGGAGGCCTATATATGTCTCACTGGTCTTTAAAATTTCTTGTACCTCCTATTTCAATAGCAATACATTAGAAAACCAATAAAACAGCAAGAAAGATGTCAGACAAAATAGAAAAGAAAAACAAACATGATAATACTGTTCCTTTCACAGAATCACAGAATCACAGAATAGTTAAGGTTGGAAGAGATCTCTAGACATCATCTAGTCCAGGCCCCCTGCTCAAGTGGGGACACCAAGAGCACGTGGCACAGGGTCAAATCCAGGCGGGTTTTGAAGACCCGGAGAGGGAGATTCCACAACCTCCCTGGGCTGCCTGTTCCAGGGCTCTGTCATCCTCACAAGAAAGAAGTTCTTTCTCACATGCAGAAGGAACTTCCAAGGTTTCAACTTATACCTGTTGCCCCTTGTCCTGTCGCTGGTCACCACTGAGAAGAGTTTGGCTTCTTCCTCCCTACATTCACCCTTCAGGTATTTATACATATTAATGTATAAATAATTATACATTTTTATAATGTATAATATTATGCATTATTATGTATATTATACATTATATATTATATATGTATACCTCTATATATGTAAACCTCTAAATCTTCTGGAGGCTACTCAGGCCCAAATCACGCAGTCTCTCCTCATACGAGAGATGCTCCAATCCCTTCATCATCTTTGTCGCGTTCCACTGGACCCCCTCGAGAAGCTCCACATCCCTCTTATACTGGGGAGCCCAGAACTGCACACAGTATTCCAGGTGTGGCCTCACCAGAGCTGAGGAGAGGGGCAGGATCCCCGCCCTTGACCTGCTGGTAACACTCCTGATGGAGCCAGGAGCCCACTGGCCTTCTTGGCCACGAGGGCACACTGCTCACTCATGGTTAACTTAGAGTCAATTAGGACTCCCGGGTCTCTCTCCGTGGAGCTGCTTTCCAGCAGGTCAACACCTAATCTGTACTGATGTTTGGGGTTATTCCTCCCCAGGTGCAGGACCCTGCACTTGTCCTTAGTGAACCTCATAAGATTCCTCTCTGCTCAACTCTCCAGCCTGTCCAGGTCCTTCTGAATGGCAGCACAGTTCCTTTCTTTTGATTCTACTTTTTGCAGGCTCTTCCGTATAAGCATCTAGCCTTCAGCTTTCCCTAGCTTTACTTAAGTATCTCTTAACAGATTAGGAAAGTCATACATGCAGAATTTCAATCTTTGTCTTGTACATCTACAGCTACTCATTAATAAAGTTGTGTTTGTACTACTGTACATGACAACAAAATCAGTTAGCTGATTTTTAAAAGTTCTGGAGCCAGATGAGATCATTATAATTTAATGTTCTATTGAGACCTCTGGCCTGATCTGAGGCTGCTACAGATAAAAGGAATTTTTCTATAACACTAGTGGAAATTTTCTGTTGAGCTCTAGACTATTCCCTTGTATATGCCATTTGCATTTACAAAGGAAAAAAAAAGAGGCAAAATTAAAAGTTATCTAAAATGAACAGTCGAGCAACACACCTCATTGCTTCGTCAATAAGATGATCACAATCTGGAGAACTCTTGAACTGTTGGACTTAAAGTTACTGAATGGGCTCCCAGCACTAGAGCATAAAATACTGTGTTTCAATATCCGACTGTTCATGTCACAGAAGCCCAAGTGTTTATCAGGTGCAGTACATTCCACAGAATGTTGTTCACGAGGAAAAACTGAATAATGTAGCAGTCATTACCCTAACTAGCAAAAGATAATCCAAAATATAAGAAACAATACATTTCATATGAACATACATATCACATTATAGTTCTTGGATGGCTTTAATATGTCCTAAGGATATTTTGCATAGATGAGCAATAACAGCATCGTACACTTGATATGTCTTACTTTGTAAGGAGTGGAGTAAGAACAGACTATCTATTATTCTGACCTAAAGACACAGAAAAGTATTGTTTCATTCCTGTGCTCCAAGATAAACAATCTTCGCAAATTACCTTGCAGTGGTGGCAATGTGTTGTACTCCTCTCACTTACGCAGGCTTCCCATCAACAAAAAAAATCTTTGTCTTCCACTGTAGTATCTAAATTAGTGATAGAATGTTTGATTTTCCAACCACGAATCAGAAAATTGAACAATGTTTATTGTGGCTGGCAAGTATTTTCAGAACCAGGACTGAGTTTCAAGTATGTTTGGACTGACCTTTTATTTTAAATGGAATCCACATAAGTACCAACAATTCCAGTTCAAGTCTGGTAAAGCTTTAGCAGTTTCATCTGGTTTTCCCTCTGTACTTTTAGTATAAGAATGAAAGTTAGAGTGAACTAAAGTTGCTATTTTGTTCCACAGTAGCTAAGTGCCATTACCTGTCTGTCTAGTGAAGCTTCCTCTGCACACTGGGATGACAATTTGGAACTATCATGTTTCTAGCACTGATTTTTGAAAATTCTCTTGATCCACACAATGTATTTGGTCATTTTAGAAGTTTTATATTGTTCAACAGCTGAACTACTTGTCTAAACTGAGTATTTCACACTTTTAACTACAGCTTTAAAATGCCTCTGTGACTCTGCGTGATTCTGTACAGCACCCATCAGTGTAAATGACTTTTGATTTTTTTTCCTTGTACTATTATTTGGAAAAAAAAACCCTAACATACCATACAAAAACAATTCACAAGGATGAATATAGGTTTGGCCAGTCTCTGTCTCAGAAAATCTATTCATAATGGAAACCGTTCCAAAGCTTTTAATAACTGACTGCAAGTCAAACACAGCATATCTTTACCCTTTGCTTTTGCAGCTGTCTGTTCTAGGTCCCTGAATAACTAACCATGTATAACGCAGAGAGAGAGAAATAAAAGCATTAAAATGCTTTAAAAAAACCTTACACAGTCTTGCAAGATACCTCATGCTTCATGGGAATAAAAATGTAAATTTTGGTGATGATCCTAGAAACAGCAAAGTCCTGTTGCATTTATGTGAACTCCCATTGGCCCTTGTGAAAATTTATTCCATTTTTTTTCCCTTCCCTCCCAAGGAGGCATCCTTTCTCCTTGTTTTTCACATATGCAAATTGAATTGTTCAGTGTTCAAAAAAAGGCAAATTAATCTAACTTTAAAGTGACTGTAGCTATTAGATATAA